TCTAACTTCCTATTGTGTCTCCTGGACAGGAAGTGAAGGGAAATCTCCCCTCCCTTCCCATCCAACAGGATGCTGATAGGAAAAAAAGGAACTCCTTTCTACCCATGCTGCTGTTTCCAAATGGTATGCTTAAGCAGTGGCATGTCCATGTGCAGCTTGGTGTCCAATCCTGGCATTTGCTGGGTGAAGGAATAAATGCCATATGGAGGAGTTATGTCATCCCACAATGGACAGACACTGAATCCCTGAAGGAGACTGGATGAAGACGGAGTAATGATGGAGGGGTCCCTTTGGAAGGTAAGTCTGCCATACTGTGCAAATATGACCAAAACCCTGGGTGTCAGCAGCAGAGTTTGCATGCGCTTTAAAGAGACTCTGTTGCAAGACTATTCATTTCAACAATCTTCCCATAACATTATATAACATATTGTAGGCATACTATTTTCCTGTAAAAGCCTCCCTTGTATAATCATCCAAAAGCACACCAGCATGCAGCTCACCTTTCTTACCATTACTAGATTCCCACTTACTGGTCTTCTGAGGCTCCCTTTACACGGGGTGATCTGGCATTCCTACATCAAAAACCTACGGATTCCTGCAGCAGGAATACAGCGTGTCCTGTTCAGATGTGGCCGCCGTGCCCATTAAAGTTGATCACAGGGTGACAGGGGCCACATCTGTCAGTGGCAGTCTGCATGTAATTTTATGGCAAGACAGGAGGCTTCATATTTTGCATAACTTTCTTTACTGAAACCTCATAGCAGCAAGGAACATAACAGAAAACAAAAGTATCCAATAGCAGCACACAGCATGTTATAAAGTCCACCCACACGAAGATCCATCCTCTTTTCTTGCTGCTACCTCATGGCAGATAGATGCGGTTTGGATGAGATGATTGTCGCTGGATGCAGGAAAGATGCATCCAGCGACAATCATCTCTCCTAAACCACATGCAATTGTACATAGTACAATTACTGACAGATGTGCCCGCTGACATCCTGTCAATAACTTCAATGGGTACAGCGGCTGCATCTAAATGGGATTCCTGCCGATGGAATCTATAGGTTGTTGACGCAGTACCAGAATGTTCCGTGTGAATGAGGTCTTAAGCATTGATGCTGTACAGTGCATTGTGAAAGTATTCACCCCTTTATTGTTTTTCCTGTTTTATTGCATTTTAACCTGGAATAAAATTGATTATTTGGGAGTTTGTACCATGTAATGTTAACAACATGCCAACCACATTGTAGGTACAAAATACTTTTATTGCAACAGAAATAATAATTTTAAAAAAATGCCTTGCGCATCTTTTAGGGTTTCCCATGATCTCCAAAAAGCTCAATTGTATTCTCATCGGATCTTCTTCCATGTTTTTGGAGAGTCTGCCACATCCTGTTGGGGAATTCCAAATGTGTATTTTTTTTTCTTTCAGCAATGGCTTTTTTCTTGCCACTGTTACACAAAGCCCCACTGTGGAGTGTATATAGGGTTGCCACCTGTCCAGGATTCACCCAGACAGTTCGGGTTTTGAATGCTGTGTTCGGGTTTCATGGCAGCAAAAACCCTGACACAAGTTGTCAGGCAGACAGAGGCAACCAAAATTAAGATAGGGGATACCGGCCCCCCCACTGAAAATAGTCTCAACTGTGATATTTACATAATAATGGGTGGCACTATTTACATATGAATAAGCCGCAACTCATTCGCCCCAAAAAATTTTGTGCGTCGCTAGAGTGTTCGGGTTTTGCTTGAAGAAAAGGTGGCAACCCTAAGTGTATAGCTTAAGGTGGTGGTGCTATGGACAGATACTCCAATCTCCGCTGTGGATCTTTGCAGCTTCCTAAATGTTATCTTTGAGGTTTTGGTTGCCTGGTCTGTGAGTTTTGTCTGCCTTCTCTTGTAAGCTATGCAGTGGTGCCATATTCTGTACACTTTGTTATCATGGATTTAACGGTGCTCCGTATAATGTTTGAATTTGTGTTTTTTTATAGCCCAACCCTGATCTATATTTCTCCACAACTTTGTCTTTGACCTATTTGGAGAGCTCCTTGAACTCCATGTTGCTTGCTTTGTGGTGTTGCAGACTTGGGGGCCTTTCAGAACAAGTGTATTTATATCGACTTCATGTGACAGATCATGTGACACTTTGATTGCACATCACAGATGGACCTGGATCAACCTATTATGGGACCTCTGAAGTGAATTGGTTGGGTCACATCTTATTTAGGGTTTTTTAAACCTTATTAGGGTTTTTTTTTTATAGCAAAGGAGGTGAATACTTCTGCACACTTAAGATTTCTGGGTTTTTCGTCTTAATTGTGTCACGATAAAAATTACTTTGTACCTACAACGTGTTTGGCATGTTATGTACATTACATAGTACAAACCTCAAAAAAATATTTTTAATTCCAGGTTGTAATGCAATAAAACAGGAAAAACTACACGGAGGGTGAATACTTTCCAGGGATCCCAACCTGAAAAAAGTTATTTCAGGGAGGTGCCCTTCTCATTTCAGGGAAGTACCCTCTGTTGTCCATCCGCAGGGGCACCCCCCTGAAATGATGGCAGATAGTATGGGAAGCAACAGCTTCTTTGCTATATGCTGTTTTGTTTTTTTAGTATTCTGACAGCTGCTGCGGTCAGAATAAAAACCAGGAAAAACAAAAACCAGCATAGGAATAAATAGCTAGATTGCTATTGGCTATTTCCATTTGCAATAGACAATAGCAAGCTGGCTATTGCATCCGCCCTCTGCTGCTGTCAATCAGCAGAGGAGGACCTGATGGAGAACTTCAGGTCCACCTCTGCTGATTGACAGCAGCAGTGGGCGGGTGCAATAAATAGTCTGCTATTGCAAATTGAAATAGCCAATAGAAGCCTAGCTACTCATTCCTATGCTGTTTTTTTTTTTCTCTGACTGACGGCAGCCCGGATGTCAGAAAACCCCCCCAAAAAAACAGACAGCAGGGAAAGGTTTACTCTCCCAGATAGAACAGAGGAAACCTTTCCGGGTGAAAAAGTTTCTCTCCCGGGCGGCCTGAAGCCACTATCTAATAGCAGGAGACTCCCGGAACGTCCGGGAGAGTTGGGATATCTGACTTTCACAAGACACTGTAGCACGGGCTTCACAGGTGCCCCCTGGGAAGACTATGTCAGTGCCTTCCGAGGAGTTCTCACACCCTAACTGCAAGGGGAAAAAAGGCTTTTTTACAGATGCTTGTAATGTTGTACAGCACATGATGTGTGGGATGAAGTGCATGCCATCAACGACGGCCAGTTTCTTCCTTCTCGTCTGCTGGTCCATCACTCACATCATGTAGCTTATCTTGTGCATCTTTCTTACTCCTAATTACCATATCAATCTAGAAATGTGTAAACCTAGCTACTGACTTTCTTACTCACTGTATTCCTATCGCAATGCTGATGTTATAAAAGGAGAGTATATGCTGGGACTTTAGAACTTTTTTTTTAATAACCCTCTATAGCAGGGGTAGGCAAACTCTGGCCATCCAGCTGTGGTGAAACTACAAATCCCATCATTAATCTGCCTTCAGAATTCATGTCTGTGGCTGTCAGAGCCTTGCAATGCCTAGTGGGATGTGTAGTTTCAGCACAGATGGAAATCCAAAGTTTGGCTCCCCCTGCTTTATAGTATCCTCCCTTGCTTTTCCCAAAGCAGCTACATAAAAAGTTATTTAGGCCTAATTCAGACGGGGCGTACACGTCCACGCATGCCTGTAAACAGGCCAATCCTGGGAGGGACAGGTGCTGCCTGTAATTGTACACGGCAGCCTGTTCTTCCCCCTGGGAGGACACGGATGTACACTGTCATCCGCACACCCAAAATTGCTGATCCGTGTGGGTCCAGGTGTCTGCACTTGGACGCAGACAGTGTTCGTCCAAGTGCGGACAACCGCAGGGATCTCAAGATTCGCTAATGTTCAGGGAGTCTCCCGCTATTAGATAGCGGCTCCCTGACGTCCGCGAGAAAGGCATTTTCTCCCTGAAAGGTTTACTCTGAGTAAACCTTTCCGGTAAGATATCAGTGGGTAAAGTTTCAGAGTGAGGCTTGCCTCCTGGAGGAAGGTCATGTGATCTCTAGAGTAGCCTCAGAACAAGGCTTGGCTCTCAGAAGGAAGAATCAATTATATGTCCTGGTTGTCTAGTTATAGAGAACATTTATTTCATTTGCTGCCCATAGCAACTAGTCAGCTGTGTATCAGGGACTTTACTCCTCAGCGTTTTTTTAAAAAGGTCTTGGGCTGTCTACAACCGGTCCCACGCGGATGTGCAAGTTTGGCTGTGCGGATGACAGTGTACAGCTGTGTCCTCTCATAGGGAAGTCCAGGCTGCTTTGTGCAATTACGCGCAGCCCCTTTCCCTCTCGGGATCGGCCCGTTTAAGGGAGTGCACGGCACACGGACATGTACGCCCCGTCTGAATGAGGCCCTAGGGAGGTGAGGTGCAGAGAAGCTGGGCCAACACAGGCAGACACTCCCAGAAAAGGAGACAGCTTTGATGTGGAAGTACAAAGGGGGCCATGCTAGGGAATTGTTCCTTCCTGTAGTAGCCGATTTTTTTTAGCATGTTATTAAAAGCCACTTTAGAAAGGAAAAATGCTGCAAGTAAGCATTTAATATATTGATTTTGCTGTGCTTTAACCTGCTTTTTTTTAAAAAAAAAAACACAAATGGGGACGGGGTCTCTTTAAAGCAATGTATATTTTAAACTGGAATTCAGTTGTAGTCTATATACTTGACCACATGTATGAATAGAATCTGGTTTACAGAAGAAAGAGGGATTCGATAGCAAAGTTGGTAGATTTTAAGAAAGAAGCGATATTTGCAGAGGTTGTCCCCAAATATCAGACTGATCAGCCTCTATTGTGTAGCTAATAAACTGCACTGCGAACTCTCATAGCCAGCCACTCATCAGGGGAAGGAGATACTCTGTGTTTTGATCGTGCGTACTAATAAAGCTTTGAAGTAGAAAAAAAAAGCAGCCACGAAGCAGCAGTGAGAGTTCCTGGAGTCCTGGAGAGGGAGGGGAGACATGGCTGAGCTGTATGTGAAGCCGGGTAAGAGGCTGTGGAAAGGGCTGGGAGGTGGTTACATACTCGGGGGGATAATTATTCATGATGACTACGTTATATGACTTCAGTTTGGCCTCATTTAGTAAATCTGCTTAGTTACAGCTAAGTGTATCCAGGGATCTAATGCGGCTTATGTCATACATGTGATGTGTGACTAGTCAGCTACCGTCCATGTCAACACAGCTCCCTGTCATAGAAGAGGTTGGATGTTATGTGGGGACACACCGGGAAGTCTGATAACAGCAGCACATTTAAAGCAGAACTCCGGGGGAAAATGATTAACCCTTTCAGTGGGGCTACCCCCGCACTGCAAGGGTTAACTGCGTGTTTTTGTCTAGGGAAGATGATAACAAAGTTATACTTTCCGGATCCTTAAAGCCAGCCAGCTGTCACAGCGCTCAATCTAGCCTTTGTCCTATCAAAGCAATTGCAACAGTTTTAGCTTATTTTTTTATGTGCAAATTGCCTTTCAACATGTGCGCCTGTTTTGACCTGAGCTTGCACTATTACGCAAGTTCCCAACTATTTACCTCATGTGCGCCTGTTTTCACTAGAGCTTGCCCTATTTTTCCGATTGCACGTGTTTTGCGAAAGTGCGCAACTATTTACCTCTGCACTTGTCCTGCGGCTGTCTGAAGCTGGAGCATCATCTAACAAAACAATTGCTACTTAAGAAGTCCCCATGACCACTTCTTCAAGAAGCGACAGTTAAGCTTTTTGCCTGAAGTTACAAAGTCTTCTTTCCTGGAGTCTATTAAACCTCATTTATCAACATTACACTAGCATCATAAATCTGGCGCAAATAAATCCTATGCAACCATATGCGAGTTCAAACACTCCCAATTGCTACGGATCAGGTGAGTATTACTTTTTTTATTTTCCTCCCTAGACACAAACAAGCAATTAACCCTTGCAGTGCGGGAGTAACCCCTTCTTAATAATAATTTTCCCCTGGGTTCCTCTTTAACTTTTCAAGAGAGTAAAGATTTAACCCACTGCCCCTTGGAAGAGTAACTACAGAGGGGGGGATTTATCATCGCAATTGCGAGTGTTTGAACTTGCATGTGGTTGCATGGGATACATAAATGAGATTAAATAGACGCCAGGAAAGAAGACCTGTAACTACAGGCAAAAAGCTTAACTGTCGCTTCTTGAAGAAAGTGGTCATTGGGACTGCTAAAGTTGCGATTGTTTTGTTAGATGATGCGCCAGCTTCAGACAGCCGCAGGACAAGTGCAGATGTAATCAGTTGCGAAATTTTGCAATACATGTGCAATTGGAAAAATAGTGCAAGCTCTAGTGAAAACAGGCGCACATGGTAAAAGGAGCGGTTAAACAGATTTGCACTGGACGCCCAATATAGCTGCTCACGTACAGAAAGATTGTTCACCACCTTGACGCCATTTCTAACCAAAGAATTATCTCTGAGTCAACTCAAAGAAGTGGTGTCTCTTTTCAAAGATACGGAGTGGTACCACAAGGCTAAATTAACTGCATGTCTAGGCCCTCTAGATATCCTTTGGCGTTCCCCAGCGTGATGTTACCTAGTTTAACTCATGCTACGCTCCTCTGATTGACCTGCATAGCACCTTTTGCTGTTTATCAATATTGTGAACTTGTAATACTTGCGGCAAATCTGCCTGTTTTGTAACGTTTGGAAAACTTTCAATAAAAATTACATGCAAAAAAAAAAACCAAACAGATTTGCACATTAAAAAAAATTATTCTAAGAGGCTAAAACTGTCGCAATTGCTTTGATAAATTCCCCCCAGAATCTCTTCTTTTAGCCCCCATTCACCCCTGGCTGGTTTGTTGCACATTTCCCAAGGCACGAAAACGCTCAATATATAGCAACCCATTATTTTCAGTGGTGCCCCTTCTAACCTGACCGTTGTGTCACTCGAAAAAGTCCATGAGCTTTATTCACGCAGAAAACTGTCACTGTCGCACCCCTCTCCTGGCCCAATCAGTTGGGGCTGGGGAATTTCCCAACCGGCAGCTACACATCAAAAAGGAGCGGGAAATGCCCCTTTTGGGCCGGCTCCGCCCAGTTGTTATTTATTGCCCGGGACCTGCCAGTAGACTCTGGCAGGTGTCGGCCAATAGGAAACAGTTGGGCGGAGCTAGCTAGATGTCAACGCTTGCTCCGCCCAATTGTTTATATTTTGCCGGCATCTGTCAGATTTGCCATTATGCGTTTGGAATTCGTTTAATTTTCTTTAAAATATTTTAATTTTCTTAACTTTAAAATTTTCGTTTAAAAAAAAACAAAAAACTTTTTAAACATTTTGTCCCCCTCCTTTTAATTAAATTTTTTTTTCTATTCTGCTCGCTACCTCGGAGGTAGCGAGCAGAATAGCCGAGCCGAATTTTCTATTTACTTACTGCCGTTTGGCCCCTATGAGAATAGGGGCGAACGCCAGTGTATGAGCTGCCAGAGATTCAGCTCAGCCGATCCAGATGTTGGATCAGCTGAGTCGAACTTCTTCTGCACTTCTTCTCAACCGAACATGCAGAGCATATTTGGCTGACCTGAAGGCAGCTGATGTACGGCTGATTTTAGCCAATGTACGGCTGAAATCAGCCATACAAGGCTGAAGTGAATAGCCAAACAGCAGTCGGCTCACTTCTCTTCGGCAGCTAAGTGAATAACCCCCTTAGTGTTTGGATAGAGTGGGGAAGGATTAGAACCCTCGTTACCAGGTAAAAAGAAAGAATGCGGCCACCATATCTAAGCTGCAATATATCACATTTTTTGGGTTTTGATAAACTTTAACCTATTTTTGACACTAAAAGCCTCGGGCTTAGAACTGCCAGTGGCTCCAGCCAAAGTGCTGTCTTTGTCAGCATAAGAAAAACATCCAAATCTGCTGTATTGTAAATTTAGAACTATGTTATATATTCTGAAACATTCAGTAACTATGGTAACACAGCATGCCGGTTTCTAAATATATTCATAAAACCTGACGCTATTTTTGTTTTTAAAAAACAGCTGATGAAGTATAAAAGTAACAAAGTTAATTAAGTACTTAAAGTGACATTAAACCCTCAGATTTTTTAACATAAACCAATACTGTAATGTGTACCTACTGTAATCCATGGTAGTTTCCCTTCTCTTTGCTGCTCTTCCTTTTAAATCCTCATGCCGGGGGAGAACTTCCCTTTGCAGCTGACTGCCTCTTCCTTTAGTGCTGGCTCAGGTTGCAAACCTACACACAGACACCATGTAGCCATTCCAGAGACAAGGCAGTCTGCTGCAAAACAGAAGTTCTGCTCAGCATGAGAAGAGATACCGATTTAAAAGGAAGAGCAGCAAAGAGAAGGCAAACAACCATGGATTACAGTAAGGCGCACATTACAGTATTGTTTTATGTTAAAAAATCTGAGTAATTAATATCACTTTAAGGCCCCTTTCATGTGGTGTTCTGATCAAGTCCGTCTGAAGTTTTTCAGGCATACCTGATCAGAATCTTACAGTGTTATTCACAGAAGGATGAAGAGTTTGGAGAAGGCACGAGAAGTTAACAATCTAGGACAACATAGCTGATCTGGAAAGTGAGCTGAATTGGAGAATTGTTCCAAATCAGCTATTTTGGCCTGGATTGTTCACTTCTCCTGCCTTCTCCAAACTCTTCACCCTTTAGTGCAGGGGCGCCCACAATTTTTTGTTCGGAGATCTATTTTTCAAATGACAAGCTCAATGAGATCTACCATCAAAAGAACACCTGCATTCAGGTGGGGGGGAGCATGGCGGTGCATTGAAGTCAATGGCACCGCACCCACGCCCCTCACCCGCAGTGCAATCGCCCGCACCCGGAACGCAGGCTCATTAGTGCCTGCATTCTGGTCCAGTGCCATCTGCAAAAATACTGCAAGCACTATTTTTGCAGATGGCACTGGACCGGAATGCAGGCAGGCGATCGCACTGTGGGTAATGAATGGTGAGGAGCCTCTGTACAGCGTGCTACTCCCCTTTGAGAAACTCATGAATGAACAGGAAGTGATATGAATGAACAGGAAGTGCTTTACAACCGGGGACACATAGTCCTATGTGTCTCCAGTTATTTACAAACACTGGAGTGATCAGCTGATCGCTCCAGTGTTTGTCCTGCACAGAGGATTGGTACATATTACTGATATGTACCGATCCTCTGCCGCTCGGCCACGCACACAGGGGGCTCAGCTTCTCCTCTGGATCTCTGCTGCTCTCCCAGGCAGAGGCAGCGGGGGATCCGAAGAGAAGTGAGGGAAGCACTTCAGCTGCGGGGGGGAATTGGAGTACGGAGCAGCAGCATGTGCGTTGAGGAGAGAGAGAGCCGCCGGCTGTCAGATCCAGGCCGAGCGGCTCTCTCTCCTCACCGCTCGGCGTGCTGCTGTGATAGCGGCTCCGTCCTCCGCCACCGGCTGCAGCGCTTCGTTCTCTTCTCCTTGGATCCCCCGCTGCATACAGATGGGTGAGAGCAGCAGGGATCCAGAGAAGCCCCACGGCAGGAGGACAGGACATCGCGCTCTACCAGGGATCGCTTTGCGATCGACTGGTAGATCGCGATCGACCTAATGGGCACCCCTGCTTTAGTGAATAACCCTGAAAGTGTTAGTCTCTGGGGTGTTTGATGTAAATGGATTATGTCCAATGACATCAGAGTCCGTCTAGGTCCAAAAAAAAAGGAACAGAGTTCTGTTTTGAACGGGACGGATCGTAGGTAATCTGATGTAAATGTACACACTGCTTACATCCGACTCCCATAGACCTAACATGGGTCTGGTCAGTTTTTTGCTCCATTGCAAGATGGAGGGAAAAACCTGAACGTCCAATGATGTCACAAGAGTTCTCTATTGCTCCAATCAGAAGGGCATCTGTGCACAGATCCTCTTCTGATCCAAATGCACACCGGCCATGTAAAAGAGGCTTTAGTGGTTTTCATACTATATATAGAGATAACTTACAAAGCACTATGTACTCTTTGTGACATTACTGGAGAGGGGAGCATAGGAAACGTAAATATATTCTAGGGAGGGAGGGAATAAGTTAAACCTTTGCTTGCCCTAAGTTGAATGTTCCTCATCATCCGGGTGGCCTGTCAGTGGTGTGTAGTCCCAGAGAATGGGAGCTGGATCTATTGCAGAACGTTGCATCTAGAGTCTGCGAGTTGCAGGAATAAGGTGTTGAGATTGCTTTGCGTCTCTGATGAGGTCCACACTAATTCAACATGTAAACGTTTCTGCAGTATGGTTAAAAACATGGAAGAACCATCTTGTTTTAAATGTTTTTTTGTATACTTTACCAAGAAGAGGGGTCTAGGGGGGATTTGTTGTACCACAAACACAAAACATTGATGAAATGCTGCTTGGCGTTTTATATCTGCTCAGAATAGTAGAGGAGCTGCCCCTGGACATTTCATTCATACCTGGACATTTCATTCATATATCTCTACCGCAGTGTGTTCTGTGTATTCAAATCATGGTTGGGATGAGTTGGCATTTTTATACAAGAAGGCCAACTAGACCACTAATTGCCTCCTGTGGTATAGGTGTTGTTGGCAGCCAATCCTCTGTACAGACTAAGACTTTACGTACGCAGGCTGATGAGGTCCAACAGAGGAATCCTGCTGAAAGAATCTGCGGATTTGTGCGGTTGGAATTACAGGTGGTGCCAGACAGCTACGGATTCTTGGCCTGTACAAAGTAATGACAGGCTAACAGGAGCAACAGCTGTCCAATGCTATTCGCTTGTATGCACATATCAGTGGTTTCCTATAGCTAGAGGCAGACGTCCAGCTCTGGATGCAATCTTTCTTCGTCCAGAGCCGGTCATCTATTCGCTAGGCAGTGTGAAGCCAGTTTCCTAGCCAATCAGGTAGCTGGGAGGCAGGTCATGACATGCAGATAACCGCTGGATGTGTGGATACATGTGAATAGAGACAGATAGCCGTGGACAGCTGTAGGTCCTGTCAGCTTGTATAGCTAGAGCGACCAGAGCTGTCTGGAACCACCTATAATTACAGCCATAAGAATCCACAGATTCTTGCCACAGGAATCCGCTGCCAGACCTGATTAGCCTGTATGAATGAGGCTTTAAGGCTCAGGATTTGTTCTTCTCCCTGTTTCCTTGGTATTTTCTACTATAGACCAATAAAATAAATAATGGTACTTCATGTTTAAAACCTGTAACATGTTTTTCCTATTTAACAGGTAACAAAGAAAAGGGCTGGAATGACCCTCCCCAATTCTCGTATGGCTTGCAGATGTCTGGAGGTGGTAAACGCACACCGCTGAATAAAAGAGTCCCGGTACCTTTACAGGATCCCCCTGCAGGTAGGAGACAGGAGAAGAATCATGCTGTGACCTTCTTGTATAAATCGCAGTATGCAGTGAATCTTTTACTTCTCTAGAGATCACTACAGAGTTACATGTTTACTGTATGAGTCTTGACATACTCAGACTAGGAAGAAAGTGATGTCATTTACAACTTTTTGCCACTTAAGTGGGTATATGTACTGTTTGGATTTTGTGCTAACTAGGGATGTACCAATACTTTTTTTTTGGTATAGAGTACCGATATTTTTTTTCGGTACTCGCTGATACAGAATACCGTTATCCCGAGGTACCGTGGACCCGGGTTTATGTTAAAAAATCTGAGGGTTTAATGTCACTTTAAGCGGAGATCTGAAAAGCAAGTCTGTGTCTGCGGGTGAGGGATCTTTTTATGATTATTGCTAGCTCTAAACTTTATGGCTTGTTGCTTTGGTGTTGGGCAGAGGATTTTGTCCAATGTAAGAAATTTGGTGTATGCAAAAATACCTTTTTATGAAGTATATTCATGTGTAGCGTGTGCACTTTTGGCACAGTGGCATATTTACTGTTCATGCTGTAATCATTATATTCATCTGTAGTTTTGATCTTGTTTTTGTTTCATTTTAGCATCTTCAGGGCAACCACTTTCTTCTTCCACTCCTCCAAAGATGCCACCAGCAGGTTCAACAAGCAACATTGGCCCTCCTCCTTTGGGACAAGTCTCCTCACCCCTTAGAACAGACAACTCAAAGCCGTGTTCCAGTCAAACAGAATCGCAGGCTCCTGTAGATGTAAAGGATGTTCTAGTCCCACTCCGTGAAATCTTGGAGGCCTGCAAAGATCTCATTAAGGTGTTTATTGTTAAATTAAACTGGGCCATCACAACTTTCTGTTTATATAGAAGGATGGTGCTCATTATTTGTTACCAAAGTTTTGCTATTCTTAATTTTCTATCATTTGTAAAGGTATTGTCAAGTTTTAGGTAGAAGCTGTATGAATTCATAGAGCACTTCCTGACTGAGGACAGCTTTAGGAAGAAGTAGGGGAGATGCTTGTAGTGTGTAAATTCTTTTCATATTGTTACCTCTGTTTTGTAATGTTTGAATGTTTTGATACAAGTGAGCTCTGGGTAGCAGCCTGCAGGAGATGGAAAACTTTTTTCTAGGAGTCTTCATTTAGACTTTGTGGAAAAGCCAGACTCAGGTTGCATGGTCTCCTGCGGTCTCCCTGATTGGGACTTTGAGCTGTATAAAGATGCTCCTTAGGTTGTATATATACTGTACTGCATATATCGCAGCTTAGCATACCTTAGCAATTAAGAAACATGGAGCCGCTCTAACCTCTTGTCTCCAATCCCGCTGCTGGAACCTCTACAACTAAGACCCATTTTGGTGGCTGCAACATGTAAGCATTTGTTAGTTTGCTGCTTTTATGCCTTTTTCAAAATAAAGTATTGAATGGACAGATCCCCTTCGAGTGCCGGTTTTTACCTATTGCTTAGCCTACCTTAAACTTGGCTGAAGCACTTACATTAACCTACAGATGGACAAAAAGCCTTCTGTATTTGATAATAAAGTGTTGAATATCTCATGTATATACAACTTCTCAGTTTGCGATATGATCTCTTTACGATGGGTTTATCAGAACGTAACCCCGTTTGTATACTGGGGAGTATCTGTCGTTATCTGCATTATTTGATAGCTGGATACAAAAAAGTGTACCCACAAAGCTGTGTATAAAATGTGGCTAGAAGATTGGACACATCTCTAGAAAAAGGTTTTTAGAATTATTCCTCAAAATGGGTTCTTGATGAAAGCCCATAATAGTTTGCCACCATTACTGCAACAGCATATAAGGGGAATTGTTCCAACGGGGGACAAAGCAATAAAAAAAAAACCCTCCCCACCATATACACAATGAATGGGGAAAGAAGTACTAAAAATAATATTTGAAAGTGTTGATTTCTTTTTAGTATTATTAAATGTTCTACTTGCAGTCAGCAGGTGATGAGTTCTATACACAGACAGGAAATCTCTGAAAGCTCATATCGCTGCGTATGACTTGGAAGATATGCACTCCTCTCTTCTAGCAGACACAGCGCCATCTTCGTTGCTCAATTTCTTCAGGCTGCCAACTAACATGCAGGGAGCAATAGGGATTCTGATTTAACAGCCCATCATGCTTTGCGATCTGTCATACGTCCAATGACCAGTGCAATGTGTTGCCCATTTTGTTTCTAAAGTTTACATGTGAATTATTTTATTTTGCAGAAACAAGTGTTTCTTGATATAAGCAAGAGACTTGCCATGCTGGAAGAAATGTGGAACAGTGGAAAGCTATCAAGTCCTGTGCAGAGAAGAATGGGAATACTGGTAAAGGGTAGGCACCCTGCTCACATTACCTTTCTACCTTTTTATGGGAAAGTTGAAGAAGATGAGATGGATTTGTATCATTTGCCTAAGGCAAACTTGTACTAATGAAATTCATTATATACTAAACACTTGGGGCCATAAATATAAAACAGTGAATTTGACTTTTAAAAGGAAAACCACTGGTGGTGAATCAGTCACTGTCAGTAAAAACACATTCACCTGCAGAGAATGTTTGGTGAATGCCAAATTTACTGCTTTATAAATATGCCCCTTAATGTTAATCTATGAGGAGTTCTAATCTGTCACCTTATACAGACCACAGAACATGGAGGTAATTTCTCAGTCATATTATTGACAGCCGGGTACACATTGTTCCTTGTAACTCACCTTGCCTCTGACTCTGGGGGTCATGCCTGTAACTGCCAGTCTTGCAATTGCTCATGGGACTTGTAGTTCCACAAAAGCTGGAGGTCTGGAGTTGCCCACCCCTTGTTTTACAGAGAACAGTTATTTACTATATAAGAAGCCAGACTGGAATGTGGTGAAGCATATCCCTTTATTTTCCCTGGTAGTCATTCCGTCTAGTAGCCATGGGTAAGAATAAGATGCTTGTATTGACCTCAATCAGAACTGGAATTCTGCTGATGAAGTCCACAGGTCCCTGATGGTGGATCATGTAAATGAAGTCAGTCAGTGGATGGTGGGAGTGAAACGTTTAATTGCTGAAGCGAGAAACTTACCTCACGAGGAGCTGCCTGCAAAAGAAGAGGCCGTAACAGAGAGCACCGACAGCGGCCATCAGGACACCTAGGAGGCCATTTTAGTACATGGCCGTATTGCTATGCAGTCTACCCACAGTATCAAATGACTTTTTTCAGTCAATATTAACTTTGTTTTTATGGTATTTTTCTGGTTGACCTTTTTTTGGGATTAAGGAGATAATTTTCTTCTGTGGCATCTTTCAGGTTTAGTGATGGCAGCCATTTTGAGGACTGAGCCAATATTAACGTTTACGCAGCTTATCGGTTAAACAGGACTGGGGAATAACTGAGGTTGTCTATAGCTCATCTTCCACAATGGCTTCCTCCACAGAGCACTTTACATTGACTAGCCTGCTGCTGACCTAAAAGAATTTGCAAAGTTTCTCTATTATCTGAGCCATGAATGGCAATGAAGAGGAAACTGATGGAGCTGTTATGCATTTTTCTGCAGGATTATTAAATCAGCGACGACCTGTTCTCTTCTTTTAAATTGCTTAACACCAAGCCTTTAATTAAATGATCAATACACTGAAACTGACATATTTTATTGATGAATAGGCGTTATAATCATCTGGTATTTTTTAATAAATTTGGTTAAAATTTGAACCGTATTAGTTTGTTATATTTATGTTCCAAATTCACAAGCAAAAATGCTTTCATAGTATCCTGCGGTTCGAAGATTTCTTGTCACGATTTCTGTCACAGGTCGGCTGGGTAGATCGGGAGGTGAGCAAACACATACCGGTACTCGCTCACTTCTCGATCCTGTGTCGGCAGAGAGCTGTGACAGGGGAGGGGCTGGATTCCCCCCTCCCCTGTCCGATCCTCCAGCGCTGACTGGCGGAACGGACGGGGGAGGCGGCGGCTACAGCTGGCTCTGCCTCTAGATAGGCAGAGCCAGCTGTCACTCACGCAGCTGGGTGGATCCAGACATAAGGACGCTAGTTTGTGTCCTCCCGTTACTCTTAGGAGAACTATGGGGAAAAGCCTTATCCCCATAGTTCTCCTTTTAAGAAGAAAAACTTACAAAAAAAGCACCCAATTAATATATATTCAAAAGTTAAAAGTGAGTTGTTAATGCTTACTCTAACCTTAACTCTAAAATCTAATCCCTGCCCTGAACATAACTCTTCAAATGTAGCTGAATCCCAACAATGAACTTGCTCTCTTGTGCTCTGTTTTATTATGCCAAGCGTCTTGTTATATCTGTTCAAGCAGTACAAAAAATAGCTTCCAATCCTGGCAGAAATCCAGCGTTGTCCTGTGTGCTGTGCTATTTCATGTTAAAGATGTCACCAGCACACCATATTGAAGTGAAGAACACGTCTGTTTAATGACGCTTCATGTCAAAACAAATAGCAACGTTTCGGGGCCACACAAGGTCCCCTTCATCAGGCTTGAAATGGATTTCAATTTGTTTTGGCATGAAGCATCAATAAACAGACATGTTCTTCAATATGGTGTGCTGGTGACATCTTTAACTAGTTTCAGTATTGGCGGCTCCATCCGCAATCACTTCGAGCACCCACGCTGACAGGGATACCCGGTAAGGAGTGCAGCAGGATTCTGGAATACATACATCTGTGCTTTTTCATGCACTATTGTAAGCCCTGTCCACCTTCCCCTCTTCATATCTCCATTTGCATAGTTCTAACACACTTCCTGTCCTAGGGTGATGACTCTACTGCTCCACAGATACAGTATGGTGAGTGAGTGTTGCCTCCCAAGGACAGGATTGCTAGAAAACGAATGCAGCCACCACTACAAAAGACTGGTAAGCTGCATGATATGACATTTTTGTACACTTTTAGGGTACATTTACACCAAAATTGGAAGGTACTCGCATCTCAATGGAAGATTCATTAACTTGCGACTGTACTGATTTCCTTCCAATCCATTGCATTCTGTCGTATATTTTCTTTTTTTTTGGCAAGCTTCATGTGAAGTAACGTGCCCTGAGTGGAGATACAGTAATACCTTGGTTTACGAGCATAATTCGTTCCGGCAGCATGCTTGTAATCCAAAGCGCTTGTATATCAAAGCGAATTTCCCCATAGGAAATAATGGAAATTCCGATGATTCGTTCCACAACCCAAAAATATTCATATAAAATGATTACAATACTGTACTGTAATATAATACTGTACAAAATATAAAGAAAAATAAACCAATTACAGGTACCTTTGTGGCCGGTGTGAGAGGGACAAGAGAGAGGAGCATTATTGTGTAGGACAACTTTCACTATCACTAACGGAATCACTGTTATCAATTGACTCACTGGAATCTTTTTCATTTCGTGAAACCTTAACAAGGAATCTGTCCAATGTGACATTGCATTGTCGTTAAACAGACTCATCGCTCGCACTGCTACAGCCTTATTCGGGTGGTGCTTTTCTACAAAATTTTGCTCTTATTGCAAGACATTTGCTTGTATATCAAGGCAAAATTTTTCATAAATGTTTGCTTGTCTTGCAAAATGCTCTCAAACCAAGTTACTTGTAAACCAAGGTATTACTGTACTTCACTGTAATGGTTTGCGATGCGGGGTGCATTGATGCACTGCGTTGAGCTCTACTTTTTTTTTTTCAGTGTAATGTACTGCAACAGAGCACAACTCTGCAGGATGACCTGTCCCTATTCACACCCATTCATTTTTCGTTGCCCTTGCGTTACCATCCCTCAAAAAATAGATGGTAACACAACAGATCTGGTATGATTGGGGCCTAAAAACAGGCCTAACATTCAGAAACTCTTGTTCTATACCACGGAGGTTAAATATCAGGTTGATCAAAGAGAAATACTACGATATTCTTTAAAAAAAAAAAACAGCTTTACATGGTTACTGCAACGAATAAGTATCTATCAAAGTCAGTAATGTTTTTGGTTTAACAATGACTTTGGGCCTTATTTAAAAAGCAGTCACTGTAAGGCCATGCTGCTGCTTTATAAATGCAGCTCAGTCATTGTGAAAGCAATAAATAAAAAAGGCAGATTTATAAAGCAATGTGAATTGTTTTACAAATGTGAGTGAAACCATAAAAACTTCAATTAATGGGGGGGTGGAGGGGTCGTAGTGATCTGAGCCGTCAGTCACAAGGCCAGCCTCTCCTACAATCGAGAAGTGTTCTCACCTGGGTTTATTAAACAATGTCATGATCTGTGCATTGACTTTAACTAGGGTCAGTTAATGGGACACATTAAAGCAAAACTTTGGAGAAAAAAAAGGGGGCTACCCCCTCACTGCAAGGGTTAGGTGCTCGTTTGGGTCTAGGTAAAAAAAAAAGTTCTAGCCACCTGATCCTTAGAACAAACCGGCTCTTAGGCTGCTCCCTTCCTCCTCGCTTTTCCTTCACGGCAGCGGTCCTCGAGTCAGCACGTTCTATACAGTGTTATTAGACGTGAGGACACCCATGGGGACATCCCATCGCTGCAAAGGAGGAGACAGGCAGGAGACAGCGATGTCACAGCTGGCCGGATCCAAGGATAGAGTGAGAATAACCCTTGCAAAGAAGCAAAAATGGACAAATTTGGATCTCTGTATAAAAAGAATTCTTCTTGCAAAACATGTTTATTAAAAGCTTTCTTAATTGAAAATCTGTGTTTTTAGATGTAATGATACAATATAATCTACAATGTAGTCTAGAAGCATAATAGATTATATTAGAGACCTGCAGTAGACTCATTTAAATACTTCAACTATTCTAGAAACCTGCAGGCAATACCAACCTTCTTTCCAGCATCACTGTTATATGTACTGTATAGGAAGAGGTCAGGAGACACATTTTGGCTCTTGATCTTTTACTATGTATATGATAAGGATCCGCAGCTGAAGGGATTTGGTTTGAGATAAGACCAAAATACTGCTGGCCTTTGATATTTAACCACTTGCTGACCGCCGTGTTTACACCCCCTTCCTGTCCAGGCCATTTTTCAGTATTCAGCGCTGCAGTACTTTGACTGACATTTATTCCGTCATGCAACGCTTTACTGAAATTAATTTTATACCATTTTTTGCGGGGCACATACAGCTTTCTTTTGGTGGTATTTTATCACCACTGGGGTTTTTACTACATTAACCTACTAAAAAGTTTGAATTGTTTTACATTATGTTTTAATACAATTATTATTACCCAATTTTTTGGTAAAATATAAAAGACGGGGTCACGTCGGGTAAATAGACACCAAACATGTCAAGCTTTAAAATTGCGTGCACCCGCGAAATCGCAACAAACTACAATGCCCAAAATTGACTAAAGGCAACGCTTTAAAAGCTTTTACCGCGCATCAGTTTAGTGTTATCAGTAATTAATGGCGCTAGAATTATTGCTCTCACTGCAACGTATATGTTACGGCGATATGCGGTGATATGTAAAAATTGCTGCGTAATTGCCATTTTTGCGCATCTATGTGGGGACTTTAAAAAATGTTGTGGGTTTTTTGTGTGTGTGTGTAAATTGTATTTATTTTGTGACCTATTTATTTATTTACACTTAACTTTATTGTTATCACATAGGGAGATAAGAATCCCCCTATGTGATATCAAATTACAGTGACCGGTCCCCTTTATGGAGACATCAGGGGTCTGTAAGACCCCTAATTTCACCTAGGGACCCCCAGAGAAGCTGATGATGCACAGATCTGCTTCATCAGCTTCTCTCCGGTTTCTGTACCGGAGAGTGACAGAGGAATGCGGAAGTGATGTAGTAAACATCACTTCCTGCATTCAGAGACAGGGGAGGAGAGCGGAGGGAGATCGTGTACTGAGCTCCCTCCGTTCTCAGTGCACTGAGCCACATCACCCATCCCGGATCGGACGCCCGGGATCACGGGGACAGCAACCACGAGGAGAGGTAAAGGGGGGCGCACAAAGACATGCAGCATACAAGCGATCGGGCGTCTTTACAGACACTGGACCGCTTGTATGTAAACGGCCATCGCTGGTTGTTTAAAATTCTGGTGGTTTCCAGCTCGTGCGGGCACAAAGGACATTTAAAGACGCCCACACACATCCAGAAGACTCTCGTCCGGCCGTTTCTGAACGTTCAGCAGACGGGAGGTGGTTAAATGATCTTTTTTGCAGCCTCTAGATTACACAAATACAGTTTCTTAGAGTATTTCTTTCACTGACAAATGCTGTACTGTCCGTCTTGTATTACACATCCTATCACAAGGGCTGTGGAAGTGCCTGTTTGTCTAGACTGCATTGCAAGAGTTAAGTCTAGGGGTAGAGGTATAAGGTGTAATGCTCACCTCTTCTCTCGCATGTTCAAGGTTATGGGTGGCCCCTCGCTGTCTTCATGTACAATGCAGGGTTTATTGGTCCTGCTTTGTACTGGATGACGGGTCACACAGATGGAGGGAACCTGCCAGAACGAGGAATTAGGTAAGTATTAGATCTTGTATTCCTCTACCGCTAGATTTAATAA